TCATTTTTAACAGTTTTACATGCTAGAGAAAAAGAACTGAAAATGGTATGCACTCCTCAATGCCCAACGCATAAAATAGGCTCGACAATAGGTCTGCACTCTGCATTCCTCCCCCAATGCAATGTTGTTTGGTCATCCTGTCCGGGAACTGGGTGCCGCGGGATGGCCGGTCCACCTCGTGCTGGAACTTGGAGCCGCAAGGTGTGTATGTTGGTGTTGCTGTTATAGTTACTCTCAATTTATCAGATTAGTTATAAATCCTGCTTAAGTAATTTGTGAAGTATTTGTTTATGTTTTATAGACTTAACTGATCCACCTTTGTGTTATTTGTTATTTACTTATTTGTTTATGTTTTGTAGAGTTAGTTATTGCATTATTAGTTTGTTTGAGTTGTCACATATGCTTAATGAATGTCAAAATAGTATCATAGGAATCATATGATATTAAATGCTTATGGAGTTGAAGCTAATTTTATTAATTTTTAATAAAATTATTATTTATTAACTCATCCGGTTTGACCCGATTCGACTCCGGTTCAACCAGTCAAACCGTGAACATTTCCTTCGTCCGATTCGTTGTCCGGTCTAGTTTCCACAACCTTGATTCTTTGATTAAACCTATAGTTTGTTAACTTTATTTTTAAGATTAAATGATGTACAAAAAAATTGAAATATTTTTTTTTTTGAAGTTAAGGACAACTGCAAAAACATTCCATAAAATTTTGAAATTAATTAGAATTATTCTGACTTTTTCTAATTTTCTTAATTGTTTAATGATAAGAATTTAATTTACTAATTAGATAAGCCTAAAAATTATGAGAAAATTTTAGAGATCAAAGGAACTTCTCATAAAAATTTGAACTCATTTGAATTTTATTTCAATTTTTTAAGATTTTTCTATTATTTAATAGTCTCATTTTTATTTTATTATTAAATGAATTTTAAATTTGATGAAATTTATCACAAGAGTTGTATCTGATCCCATGAGCATCTCATAAAATTTGAATTCACTTGGATGTGTTGATCTACAATGATCTATTTCATTTAATAGTATATTTTCTCACCATATTTATCTAAAAGGGTTTTCTAACTTTAAAATCTAAGAAATTTGAATCTCACTATTTCTGGATATCATCAAGACCCCCAAAAAAATCAATTTATATTTTTAGGATTTTTTTTTAATGTTAATGATTTTACAAAAATCAAAGCCAATTAAGGGATCTTATTAACCTTTGAATTGAGGTTCGAGATTTGAACTTCCAAATGAACTCTAACTTCATGAAATCTAATTCACAATTAAAGAGTGACTTGGAGAACATTTTGAAGTCATTTGGAGTTTTTTATAATGTATTATTATTTATTATTCTTTAAATTTTAGTAAGGTGTGTTTGCTGTTCACAAATACATTCAAATTAAATTTTCCTCAGATTTTATGATTCATTATGAGTTCAATGCACTTTTCCTTATATTTTTAAGATTTCATGAATTTTATAAGTTAAAATGCATATTATAGGATTTTTCTTTATAGTGAAACTCCATCTAAAAGAACTCCATGTTCATGAAATTTAAACCACAAACTTCTCAGGGTCAATAGATCAATCTCTAAAAATTTGAGCTCTTTGGAGTTATTATTGATTTTTAATATTTTAATGAAGTTAAATTAGATTAATCTTAGAAAATTAGGAAACCTTTTTTTTTTAAATCGAAAGGATATAAAATCATCTTTTCTTTTATTCTATTTTTTGTTAAGGTTCTACGAAAATTCATTTTAGCGTGATTCTACTGTTTGCTGGTCATATATATATTCTTAAAATAAAATACAAACATTCTTACAAAATATAAAATTTAACCTAAAAACTAATGTATACATACATTACATATTACCAATATTTCCAAATGCTAACATGTAAAAGTAGGAATGTGGGTAATGCATTTGCTTGGGTTTGTGTTTTATTACATTAGTACATAAACCATTAAAAGTAATTAAGTTGCCTTTTAGCCAGAACGTGGTCACTTGGATGGAACGTAACTGTGATTTAGAAAACCAAAACAATCAAGGCTAAGGCAATTTTGGCGGAACCAGAAGTTTCACTTCAACTTTTGGCTTATCAAAAACTTTCACGCATCATCACCATCAAACTATTTGGTTTTACAATACCTATAATATTAAATTTTAAATCCAGCTATGTGTTTAAAATTCATAAAACGAAAGACAAGGAATTAAATAAACAATTTTTACATCTAGTTATATAACTTCTATTTTTACGTAATGTAAGAAGCAAAAGTATACATAACCATGAGTTGTGCTATTGCGTGCTCGTGTAATGAAAGTAGTGCAAAAACCAAAAATTCCATGGAGCTAAAATAGGCATCTAATACCGAAGGCAAACTTTAGCTTGGTGCCAATGAGTTGTTCATACGACATTATTCTTAGGCTTCCAAACAGATAGCAAGGGCATAAATCCCGTTATAAAAAAGGCATAAGCCCAGCAGCGCTGGTCATATGATGGGATAGCGAAGGAAAATAGGTTAGTGATCTAATCAAATGCAAAGCATTTTTGTTTTTAGGAAAGGAAGCAGCTAAACAACGAAAACATTAGCAGAAAATGACCCAGTTATTACTTGAAACGGGATTAAAATGGACAATACAAAACAAAATAAGCATAAACAATTCAATGGACTCCACTTTGGATCAGTACCAGGAACTGAAGCTAATTCTTTTCGCTGTTGAGTTTTCAGTTTAGACTTTCACGAACTTCAGCAGAATTATAACAACAAAAACACACAAAATAAAATTTTGAATCTGAGTATTATATGCTATTACGAATGAGATGTATTTTGTTTTCAATGACTGAATCAAATCATTTCAGAAGAAATTCTAAACCTTGGTTCTTTTACTTAGAAATAAACAGTTTTTAGAAGTGAATATGATGGGGACATCATATTTCGACACGTGTACCATCGCCGACGGCGCAGATCGACGGCTACGATCCAGAGCCTCTACTTCTGAGTTATTTACAGCTTATGTCATGTGTACTTTTTTTAGTTTTCCTAGTTTGCCCCTGAGGGCATTATTCTACTTATGTAGCCCCGAGAGCGTTTATGTCTTTCATTTTCTTTTAGTTTGAGCCCCTTATATGAGGCATGATGCATTGTAAGTTGAGTAGTTTTTGATGAAATAAAAAGTTATCTTCCTTTGTTCTCTTTGTGAGTGCATCCCCCATGATCTCTTCATGAGTTCATAGGGAAAACTAGATCTCTCCGTGAGTTCTAGGATTCGTTCAATATTATAGTGTGGAGATAGAGCATTTTAAGGAGACTCGAGGTGAGGGAGGTTAAACCAAAGCTCTCAGATTTTTACATTTTTTTTCTGTTTTCCCCTGATTCCGCCGACCCCTGTTCCGCCGACCCCTCTAAATCCTCCCCACCGCCGGCTTGCCTTGCCCTCCCGCCGACCGGCTGGAAGCCTACTGCCGACCCCTCCTCCAAACCACCTCCCGCCGACCACCTGCCGCCTCCCCACCACCGGCGTCCAGAGCCCCATGCCACCGGCCCTTCCTTTTGAATTCCCTGGTTATTTTGAAATTCAACCATGAATAACTTGCCTAATTAAGACTCTTAAATTTAGGAGCTAATTAAGGGAGTTATTATTGCTAAAATTCAAAATTCCCTCTCAATTGGCACTAAATTGGGAGTTACATGATTTGATTAAAAATCTGAAACTTAAATTCAGATTTTAATTAAGGATTGTGGTCCCCTCCCATTAACAAAATCTGCCATCTCTCTCCTCCATACATGGCCGGCCATACACCCCTTTTTTATTTCTCTTTTAATTTTCTTAATACACCATTAACCTTCCCCCTCATCTTAATTCCCAAATTCAAATTCTGAAATTGAAATTAAGAATCCGCCAATTTCGGAAATCTTAATTAAATCTCAGATTTTTATTTTCCCCTTTCCCCCAAAGCTCCACCCGCCCTAGCCAACCCGTGACCGGCCTCCCTCCTTGGCTCACGGCTTGCCTCCTTGTCTCCTCTCTTTGGGTTTCGTCGTTCACTACCGCCATGCATGGATGAACCCGAATGGAATTTCGGATTTGAATACGACAATAACGGACGAGTCGACATCCTCCATTCACCCTTCTTCGACGTTGGATTTGACTTTGACGACACCCCCGAAGAGTACTTGGACCGGATCTTACCAACCCTCGTGGACTCCATCGACGATCATTTCTCCGTTTACACATGGATCATTGAAAGCCGTCCGCCCGCTCCTCCGAACCCGGTCTCCTTCCCGGCGACAAGTCCTCTCAAGATCACTTGTCTACTAGTGGCGTCGCTAAGTCTGCTCACGGTTCTCTTCCGCTAGCCTCCACTTTAAATTTGAGTGACGGATCTTAAGGTGAAGGATCTAGATTTTAAATTTGGGGCTTGTGTTTATTTCTAGCTATTGGCATTATTTAAAATTTTGGTGCTATTTTGTGAGGTTCTTCAATTCTCTACTTGTAACGTATTGTCATTATTTTAATCTTCAATGTCCTATTCTTAAACCAAACTTGAGTAAGCAAGAAGTTTTAATTAGTAAAGTGAAATCAATAATTTTATTAACTTCTCATGTGCAATTCTTACTTCATCGCATGTTGTTTCACATCAGAATAATAAGCCCCTCGTTCTTCGTAGTATTTCTTACCAAACTATTTTGCATGCTATTACACCTATAAACTCAAATAAACATGTGTGACCATTTAAACTACAACATAATAGGATGCAAGAAAGCCAACTAAATGGGTAATACACCTTTCAGTGTAGATAATACATAGTAAATTTGAAAAGAATTTTGCTTTCAAGCTTTTCAAATTGCCGTTCAAAAATGAAAGGAAACTAAAGAAGACTACTGATAAATTTTTGAAATGAATCTGAAGGAGACTATTAAAAAGTTCATTTTTGTTCTTTTTTGCATGTAATCAAAACTCTATATGAAACAAACAGAAGGAAACCCTACCTGAATGTAATGATGAATTACGATTTCATACTGCTCCTTCAGAGAAGCAAAGAAGACTAGCTCCTCAACTCTACCATAACTGCAACAGATTTTTGCTTAGTTATTCAGTTTAGCTGTCCAAATCTACCAGCTTTTAACTATAAGCATTTTGGAAAAAAAAAAGTTAATGAATGAAATTCAGAATTTTAGCAATATCAGAATACATGAAGTGACGGGCTTGATAGAAAGCAAGAAGACACTAAACCACTCAAGAAATGCAGACCTTTGCAAGCGTTCAAAAAATTATCGAGGACTAGGTTATCTTTAATGGATAATAAGAAGGCAAGGGAGAAAACAATAGAAAGATCAACATAACGGGCAAGCTACCGAAATTCTTTGTAACTAATGGAGGTGTCTGTAGCACAGAGGCATAATAAAGAATATACTCACAAAAAGCATAATAAAGTTCAACAATGAATGCATGATTATTTCAAGCCCATCAAATTTTCTGAAGGAGGTCCATAGATAAGTTCTCGGAAACCATAAAAATTGCTTTTCATAGTAGAACTGGCTATAGTCATTTATCTTTAAAAAATCAAAATGGCATTTTGAGGCACTTCAAAGTCTACCAATCTGCTAAAACTAAGAAATGACTGATTTATACACACCCCCATCTTCAACCTAAGGAATGGTCAAAACCAACTAGCATTACCATTGTGTTCTTCCGATTCACCATGGACAAACTCCATTAAAGAATACCCATTGGCATCAAGGAAACATGGACATAAAGTAAGAACTCAAACCTCAGGCTTTGTCATAGACAAATCATAAAACAATGCCTTTCTTGCAAAAACTAAAAATGGAGTGCTATTCATATAATGTGGTGTTAAATTAAAAGAGAGTAAACAAATTTAAGAAAAAAAAAAGGTATCTAGTGCATGAAAGTCCTGCTACTATAGGCCATAGGGCATGGGAAACAAGTCCAATAGCCTTAAAACAACAACATCAAGCTTTTGTCCCACTACATGGAGTCGGCTACATGAAACATTTTCCTCAATAAAATTTATAGCCTTAAAACCCATCAATTAAATTTATAATAAAGATGAAACTAAGTGATCCGACAAAAGCTTCTCTTTGAGGACTTATAGAGTTGTACTGAAAAAAGATCTGTAGTTCTTACTTTGCATTCACATTGATAACGTGTCATAATGATATGATGGTTATTAAACTGTGATGACAGATCAATATAGCACTGCAGTCCATAATAGAATGGACTAAAGCTGAATTCTTGAAATATCAGCACCGGACTTGTAACTTACTCTGAATATAACATTTTCTACTAGAAAAAGGAAACCAAGTTGTCAGAGAACCGTTTACTTCTAGTATCATATGTAAGAATTTATCATTATAATGCATCAACAGCACAAAAAATTAGAACCCAACAATAGGCAGATGAGTTCGTGCAAGTGTTAACCTCCATAGGTCTGTAGTTTTAAGTAAATTACCATAATATTGTTGTGGAAAAGAAAATAATGAGCCAAATTGGCATACAAAAGGATGATAAAAGCTTGGATTTAGTTTTGGCATTACCCTAAGGTGAACCCTATCTCACCTCTCCAAAAGCTTCATAGTGGTTGCCTCATCTAACACGTCCTTGGAATCACTAAGGAAGGCCCTAAATTCTTTGATAATTGACTGATACTCTGCATTGCTGCTTCCTAATGGTGCATTCCCAAGTGAAATTGGGTCATCTTCTAATAGCAGTCGATTAATCTGCAAGAAGCACAATAAAAATATTTTACCCACAAAGTTAAGCATCTTCAATCAAGTATTGAGGCATTTAATAGTTAAATCAGTAGATACGATATTGGTAGCAGAATACTTGGCAGGACCATGAGGAATATGTTCGTCTAAACAAAACAATAAGGACAGGTTATGTGTCTGCCGGATGGCGTGTTGAGTTTCCAGTGTGACAAAAATAATACTAATAAACGATTTGTTAGTTTTCTTGATATTGGTCGAAAGAAAACACCAACTCTTAATGAGGAATATCCAATAAGAATTCCTAAAAAATCATCATCATTTTCTTAGATATTTGGGACCATCTTTATGAGTCATCATTTTCCATTCAATTCCACACTTCATGGCGACCATTTTGATATATAGAAGTATATATATAAATAAATGAACGCATTAGTATTTATTAAATAATTTCACAAGGAAATCATTTTCCTTTAGTTTCAATTTAATTTACTGTAGCAAAATTATTGTACAATGGCAACCCTATTTTTTTTATGTTTTTAGGTTGAATGCATAGGTGAATTTCAAAATTAACAAGTTGAAGAAACTTTTGAAACTAAAAAATATATTAAATTAAATTAAATACTAATTAAATATCCACAACATCATTGGGAATAGTAAGGGGCAAAAGTCTCACACAAATGTTTGCATTTAGCAACACCTATGAATATCTTTTCAACAATTGAAGAATTTTTCTCAAAATAAGGTTTTTCATGATATGTGATTGAAGCAACTCCTTCAAAAAGCTCAACATCTTTTGATAAAATACTGCTAACCAAAGTATACTTGTCAAGGAAAATAATGGATGATAAACCTTTACTTGACGCAGCTAGATTCATCAATTCAAGTTGTTCATCCTCTATAAGTTGCAAGTTTCCTTCAATATTTTGATGAGCTATAAAGGCTTTATCAATACCTTCCTTCATGGTCGTTGTTCTCATTTGCAGTTCTTTTGGTTTGCTTACCTTCTCTTCTTCCATATTTATTTCATTTAGCGGCATTTTGCAACAGACAGGTTGATCAACAAACCCAATTTAAGCAAGAAAGAGAAAAAATCCAAATAAAGTATGCGGCCTTAATTCAAAAATTAGATGTGACTCACTCGGCGTATCATGGAAGTTATGAAGTCATCTCATCAGGAGATGAGAATTCTCTCCCATGGGAGAATTGATGTAAGCGAGGTTGCCCCCCCCCCCTCTTTTTGTATTTGGGGGGGGGGGGGGGGGGGGGGGGGAACTGACTGCTACTTAGCATTGGCTTTCCCGGTTCCCCTTGCTTGGTTGTTTGGTTCCTGCTCCCTGGCTGTCCTGGTTCCCTTGCTGTGGTTGTTCGGGTGGGGGGTCCAAATGTGCCTTTATTGCTTTTTTTTCTCTCCCTTTTGGGTGGCTGTGATGGGCGGTTGAGCATGGTTTTTGGCCTCCCTTTTCTTTCCTATTTATAGGGGAGTTTTGGGTTGTTTGGAGTTTTTGGCAACAGTGAAAATCACGTAAAACCTGAGGGTTTCACTCTAGCTTGAGAGCTACTTCTTCACTTCTTGTTGCTTCTTCCAAGTCTTCTAACCCCTTTCTTCTCCCCACAAGTTTCCACCCCATTGTATCCTTCTTTTAAAAAATTGAGAGTGGTGTGGTTGGTAAGTTTGTTGGGATTTGCCGGAGGAGTTGTGGCCGACGTTGGATTGGATCAAAGTAGCTGTAGTGAACCACTGGTTTGCATGTCCTTGAGTATTCTATTTACCTATTTTAACGTTACATGTGAGGTGACCACTAGTTGATTGTTCTGAGGGTAGTTTTTTTTTTCCTTTCTTCTTATAAAACAATTTCAGTTTGTTTAATGTTGTTTAGTGATTTTCTTACTAAAGATTTTGAATCGAGTCGTGTTCTACTTTCTTGTGTGTTCTCCATTGGGCTTTTAACTTGCTAGTTTCCCATCACATTCATTCAGGTAAACAGTAAGCAAAAGCAGAAAAAAAGGTCAAATTCATTGAAAGCTATGGAATACAGAAAATTAATCACAGCACAAATAACTGTTCCTACAACTTTTTCCAGTATTTCATCAACTAAATAACATTTGCATGCCGAACAATTGGGCAAGTAAAACGTTTCAAAAATGATGTTATAATATGAATATTTTGATGATCTTTCGAAGGCATTTACCTTGTCCAAGTACAGCTCGGTAATCCATGTTGAAATCATTGTGATTTGACACTTATCATCTCTAGTGAGATTATCAAGCTTTCTTAGAAGATAAGTCCTCAGAGCATCCTGCGTGTAAGAGAGCATCACAGATAAAACTCTTGAAAAAAAAATCATCAGCAATTCAGCATATAGCATTTTGCAGTTAAGAAATACACGAACATGCCATTTCCGGTGGAAAGACGCATGTACTACACAATCACTTAAAAAAGACCAGCATAAATATAAAGCATAAACAAAATGAATGCAAAATATGGAGTGAAGGATAAAATTATGGTCATTCCCTGCTACCAACTTTTAATATTACTAGTAAAGAAAGACCCTTTTTTTCAATAATCCTCAGTTAAGAGTTAAGACTGCTGACAACTAAAAGAAGGCAAATCACTTTGATGCAGGACTATATGCAAAACAGGAAACTTGCACAAATAATTAAAGAGCACTTTGGATTTTCGTTATTAGCGATTAAAACAACAAAATAAAACTAATAAGTGGTCACTTTCGTTTAAGCTAAGCTACGCAAGAGACTAAGCGACATCAAAACATCTAAGAAAATCAAAGCGTTGCATGCGAAGTAATTGGAGGGAAAATAATTTGAATTTGGGTTTCAAATTATATGCAATTAAGAGCCTTAATGGAGCATTCAAGAAGTGGGGCCCATGCAAGGGGCCGGCGGCATGGAGAGAGAGGGAGAGGGGTTTTGTGGAGAAATTCAAATCTCCTTCCTATTTGGTCTCTTTAATTTAGGAGAAGAAAAATTCCACCCAAATTAAATTTGAATTATGTCATGAAGGAGATTCAATAATTTCCTAAAATAGCTTTCTAATTTATGAAACTATTTGAAATTCAAAATTTGAATTTCAAATGATGAAAATAATTTCTCAAATTATTTGAACTCTTTAGGCAAGCATTAAGGTGGCATTGACTCCTCATCCATGAAGACAAACAAGGTGGCCGGCGGTGGGCATGGCTTGGGTGGGGCGGGTGGAAAAGCTAAGGGAGAAAGTGATTGGGTTGGTGGTTAGGTTGAAGTGAGCTTTGGTAGGAAGGGTTATGGGGTGGTGGTTGGTGGTGGGGGTGGCCGGCGGTGAAAGTGGAGGAGAAGGGAAGAAGAAAGGAGGAAAAACCAAGAGCCACCGGTGATGACTGTTGGGTACGATGGGTGGCCTCTCCTAGGCTCCACCAAACTCTCAAATTCCTTCTCAAGCTCTCACCTAAGCCTCAAGAATACAATTGCTGGAAATTTCTTTGATTATCATTCATTAACCTCAAAAGAACAAGATGAAGGCTTTAAATAGCCTCTTATAATGACATAAAACAAAAGGACTCAAATACCCTCAAGGGGCTACATGACTCAATCCCTCAAGCAAGGGTAAAAAGGGAAAATGCTGAAATAAAAATACATCACTAAGGAAACAATAATAAAATTAAAAGTACATCGGATAAATCGTGACCGTTGATCTACGGCCACGTCGACGATAGAATTTCCAACTGATGTCCCCATCACACTTCTAATACAACTATAAGCACATTATATAGCAAAGATGAGAGAGGGAAATTGTTTAGCTGTGAATTTACATATATATTAGGTTATATAAATAATTACCGTATACTTAGCCGCATCTCAAAAGAAAAATAATAAGTTGCATATCTATAATGCCTCGCCATATTTATGTATTAGAAACTAAGCAAAGTTCAGAAAGCAAGAGCAATGGCATTTTAGTTGAAGCTTTAAGAACAAAAGCTTTTCTCGACATAATTATCAGAACTTATTTAATACCCGGAGGGGATTCTGGTACAGATCTTTGATATAAAATGAGGCTAGTGATATAACATTTGATCTGGGAATCATATCATGAAGTGGATAATCAATTATATCATCTATTTCAAAAAAGACTACAAGAAGAAAAGATGAGGAGATTAGATAAGTTGACTCGGGACCACTAGATTTCTTCACAAAAATAGAGGACGATGGTGATTCTAATGTCGCATCATTGATATTAAAGAGGATGTTGTAAGTAATCAACATGTGGGGAATCTGCACATATGGACAGATCATCAATTGAATATTAGTGGGAGCTCAAAGCTTAGGAAATTAGTTCGTTAATTCAAATGATTTTGAATATTTTAAAACCATTTAGATAAGTTTGTAATTGAATTTAAATTCAAATTATCATAATTCATGCAGATATTCTCATTTTTTTAGACTTATCTAGGTTGTTATTGTAGATGGAGTTTTCTTTTCTTCTCTTTTTTTAATTTGAGTTAATTTAGGAATGGTTTAGATTTATCTTTATTGTAATTTGTAAATTTAAAGGCTAGATTTATGCTATAAACACAATGAAAATCTTTCTAAAATATTCTTTTATTTTCATTATATTACTCTCTACTTTATTCCCTCGTTTGCTGTAGCTAATTGTCAAATCCCTTCACTGGCACAGAAGCCGCCAATTCCTTCTGACAAGGCAAGACCCCTCTACAGGCCTATAGCTGTTGTTCGTTGTTGTGCTTCCCAGGCGCTGTGGTCTTGTTCATTGTGCCACTGTGTCGCTACTAATCTGTTGTTTGCTAGCAACTGACTACTTGTTCGCAACTGAGTTTACTGATTATAGGCTTATTGCGTCAACCTTGTTGACTGCTGGTTTTCCCTGTTGTTGCATTTAGGCCAAAATCAGAGAAAACATATAATATAACTATTAAAACCAATATAAAAATCCACACATAACCAGGAAAACAGTAGATAATTTGTATTATTTGATGAAAGAGAAACGGAAAATACAAATATACAATTGATCTTCTATTTGAGAGGACTAGACGCTACTAGAGCCCAAACAAAACCTATGTGAGATATCAAATTTCAGCCAAATTCAAGATGCCCAAACCCTAGGAAAACAAACTATTTAATAAATACTATCCAAAAGGAAATCTCTAAACAATCCCTACATTCAAATTTCCCTCTTACATCCCTCCAAAAACCTTCCTATTCCGACTACTTGAGCCAGCAGTTTGAGCAGCATGCAGGGGAGGCAGACGAGTTCCGCCTCTGTCTTTGCGAGCCGGTGCTGCATGTCCGGCTGAACTGATCCACTAGACCGATCTAACAATACCCCTTCCCAAAGACCCACTTTGTCCCCAAGGTGGAAAGACGACACTCTCCTCAATTACCATGTCATCACAAACGGTGAGAATCTGAAGAGTTTGATCCTTACACTTATGCCCTAGTGTATACATCTCGTCACATCTGAAATAAAGCTCATTCGCCCTCTTCTCTACTAATTCCTTTTATGTGAGCTTCTTGAGTTGTACACATGTCTTCCTCCTACGGTCTTCTGCTTCGAAGTCTCCCGAAGAGTGTCCGATCTTGACTCCTTGGATGCAAAAAAGGTGGTTATCATCCTGTATGAGCATCCTGAGTTGTTGCCTCCCGTTCCTCTCTCAAGGTGCCTCTGATCCTCCACCAACTGAGCTAGCCGCATAGCCTCTCTCAAATCACGAGACCTTAAGACTCTAACTGCTGCGGATCTCTAGTTTTAGTCCCTTACTCACTTCATAAAGCTACCTTCCAGTATAGTCTCTGGAAGCCGATCCAGTCGACTGACTAGTCATGATACTCCATTTTTCCCTCCTGCATCAGAGTGAAGAACTTCTCATAATAGTCCGCTCCCCTGCTAGTTTGAAAACGTTCCAACAAGCAATTCTTAAACTCCCTCCAGCTCTGTATCGGTTGTCTCGTATCCCTCCATTGGCACCATGCTAAAGCTTTCCCTTCCAAGCACATCTCGGTTGCCGTTAGTCTCTCACCCTCCGTTAACCTGCTGACGGTAAAGTACATTTCCACCTTGTAAATTCACACATGGGCATCATCGCTCTAAAAAATAAGCATCTTCAGCTTCCTCACCCTCAGATCGCATTTGTTCCCACTATTCCCTTCATAACTTCTCATTCCCCAAGGGGGTGGTTCCCCCCAAGTATCACAATCATCCCTTCTACATTCATACCCAAACCTTTCATCAAATTTCCACCTTCTCCATTCAATTCAGCACCCCATGGATCATAACAGACCCCACTTTCAAATTCAGCCCCTCTTTGGTTATAATTACCTATTTCCCTTTCAAACCATGACCCTCTCCTCTCCAATTCAGAACCCCTTCGTTCTTGCCCTACCTCCTCCCGCCTCTCCCCATACCCTCTTCTCAACCCCTCCCTAGAAATAATAATTCTAATGACATGAATCCTTTAATACAATGTGTTAATGCTAGAGTGTTCCTTGGAAGCGACGCACTGTATGGTCTGAATACAGTGAGAAATGTGCAATGGCAGCTGCATCGATGCCCAGATGCAGTGTCAAATAGGTAAAGGTTCCTACATCAAGGACGGTTGTGGGCAAAGAAGCTAGTTCATGAAAATAAAATTAGGTTAGAATCTTGGAATGTAGATTTCCTTACAGGTAAATTAATTGAATTAATTAATATTATGATTCATTGGATGATAAATATTATATGCATTCAGGAAACTAAATGGTGTAGGTTGATAGTTTAGGGTTTAAACTTTAATATTCTGGTAGAGTAGTACTATAAATAGTGTGGGTGTGGTTATAAGTAAGAGTTTATAAATAGTGTGGGTGTGATTATAAATAAGAGTTTGAAAGATAATGTTGTAAAAATTGATAGAATGTCTAAAATGCGTACTCTTATTAAAACTATATTAGATTTTGCTCTAGCTTATGATTTTCTAATTGCTAATACCTTATTTAAGAAAAGAAATGAGCATCTCATCACTTATAAGAATGGATATAACAAAACTCATATTGATAATTTTTAGGTAAGAAAAATGGATCGTTTAGATTGCAAAGATTATAAAATTATTCCGAGTGAAAGTCTATGTACCCAATAATGCTTATTAGTTTTGGACTTTAAGATGAAGGAATAAAATATGAAAATTTTAGTATATCGTTGCTCTAGGATTAAATGGTGGCATTTAAAGAACTCTAACAAAAATAAATTTGTGAGTATAATTCACAATCTTAAGATTTTGTCGGTGCAAGCAGAAGATAATGTTAATGGGAAATAGTAGCTTGTAATATTAAGAATGTTGCAAAGGTTGTGCATGAAGTATAAAAAAAAACTTCTAATAGTAAAAATAGTTTGCAGTATAATGAAAATCTACAAGAAAAGAATAAAAATAAGATGTTTTGTTATAAAAATTAATTTAGATGTAAAAACTCTGAAAATTGGAAAAAATATAAAGTTTCCCATAAGGAGTCTTAAAAAACAGTTTGCGATGCAAAGACTTTAGCTTTTAATGATTTATATAATATATTAGATACTAAAGAGAGCGAAAGATATATGTATAAGCTAGCCGAACAAAGAGATAGTAGTAAGGATTTAGTTCAAATGAAGTGCATTTAATTAAAAATAAAAAAGTGCTTTTATTATGTGATAAAAATCAACAAAGGTGGATGAGATATTTTACTATTTTTTTTATGAAGATTGTGATACGATTGAATTTAGTGACCTTTGCACCCTAAATAAAAAGAAAGATTTTTGCTTTTATCGGCATATTAGTAAAATCGAAGTTAGAGGGATTTTAAAGAAAATGAAGTGTGGAAAAGTTGTTGAATCTGATTATATTCCAATAGAGGTGTGGAAATGATTAGGAGATGAAGGAATTTTTGGCTTACTAAACTTTTTAATATTATTTTGAATATTAAAAAGAGTGGACAATGAGTGTGTTGATTCTTATTTTAAGAATAAAGGTGATGCAAAAGATTGTAAAAATTATAGAGGAATTAAGTTAATGTGTCATACTTTAAAACTATAGAAGAGAGTTATGGAGCATAGGTTGTGACATGATGCTAATGTTTCTCAAAATCAATTTGGATTCATGACGGGTAGATCTACTACGGAACATATACATTTATTGAGAAGTATAGAGAGAATATGGAGGGTCTACATATAATATTTATTGATTTAGAAAGCATATGAAAAAATTCCAAGAAAAGTGCAATAGAGAGTTCTAGAAAATAAAAGGGTTAATAATTCTTATATTTAAGTCATTAAGGATCTGTATGCAAGAGATGCTACTTGTGTTCAAACACAAGATGGTTTGACCAAGTATTTTCCTATTTTAGTTTGATTACATCACGGATTAGCCTTAAGCCCATATATTTTTGCTTTAGTCATGGATGTTCTCACTAGACATTTGCAGGAGGTTGTATCCTGGTGAATGTTTTTTTCTGATGATATTCTTCTTGTTGATAAGACTAGAGATGGAGTTGAAGATAAACTCGAATTATGGAGGTCAACCTTAGAGTTTGAAGGTTTTTGTTTGAGTAAATCTAAAACCGAATACATAGAGTGTAATTTTAGTAATAGATCTAGTGGGGGTTTGTGACTTTGAGAGATCAAATTATTAATAAGAGTACGCATTTTAAATATCTAGGGTCTATTGTTCAAAGTGATGATGAATAGATGAGAATATTAATAGTAGAATTCAAGTTGGATGGTTGATGTAGAGGAATGCATCGGGCTTGTTGTGTGATAGAAAAATACCACACAAACTTAAGCAAAAAGTCCCAAACAACCAACTTAGATAAGGCAATAAGGCCAGAATGACAACGTCAACATAAACATGCGATAATATCGAGACTGATGGAGTGAGTAACGACTACCAGAATGATGACACAAGTAGCAACACAAAAGTAATTGCTAGTCGAAAAAAATTTGGCTGATTTAACATTTACAACAGCCATAAAAGATGAACCAAAGGTAGGTTAATAGAAGTAATGTGAAAGAAATGGGAAGAATATTGGGTAAATGAAAGGTCCATGCCAAAAGTTGTGTAAAAAGAGGCATCAATTTCTCTGAGCAACTTGGGAGTGAATAACAAAGTAGTCAAATTTCATAAAGCCAACAAAAAATTAAAAAAAGGCAAGTGGTGATCAGATAGCACACATAATAGAATGAATAACATCAAAAGATTCACTAAGCTCAATTTAAATAAGAAAGATTGCTATTGTGCTAATTAAAATAATTCCAAGTATAAGTCAATCCAACAAAATAATAGCCTCAATTATACAAAGGCTATGTGATGTAGGACTAAATGCTTAAAATGAATGTAAAAGAGTTTGCATGATTCCTTGATAAGAGCAACTAAGATTATAACTATTAGCAAATTAAAACGATCAAATAAAACATAAGAGCGGTCACTTACGTTTAGGCTAAGTTACATGCCAAGCACTTGGAGAATCAAAACAATTTAGAAATTCAAGAACATGCAAAGTAGATAGCGTTCAACAAAATCCCTAATCTAACAATTAGATTAGAAACATAGAAAGTACACTCAATCCTACGTTTACTAAGCTTTGGCAACGGCGAAATAAAATCCTACATTTACTAGTCTTTGGCAATGGCGAAACTCGACTCCTTGGAATTCGTCATCACCTACAAGATTAGGGGATTAGAAAGGTAATTGAAGAGGGGGAGAACTTCACCTTAGTCAAAGTCCGGAAACAAGTAGTCGATATGTTGAAGAAGTTTGTCATAGGAGAGGTCGTATTCTGTGTCCGGGTCGGCCATCCATGTGAAAAGTCGCTATTTTGACTTTGGGAAGGGTTGTATGACAAGGAGAGACTTCTCCAATGGTGCTGTAGTGGAAATAGTCCAGCGGAAACTGCTGGACAGCAGTTTGATCTTTCCAAACAGCAGTTATTAGGCTTACGATTACTAGAGACGTGAGAGCAAGGGTTGGAATTCCTTGACAGCAATCTTAGAAAATAGCAGATTCCATGTGGGAGGAGTTTGTGGGAGGAGTTTGGGAAGGGTTTAGTGTAGGAAAACCAATGTAAAGGTGTTGGGAAAATTCGGCCAGCAGGGGAATACGGGAAAGAATTTTGGTTTTCAAAATTAAAGGCTGAATTTTGGCAAGAATTAAGAGGTGATTGCATAAGTAGGAATTTCGGTCAGGTTAAGGTTTTTTTAAATTCTTTCCAAGTGAGAGTAGAGGATTAGGAAATAAATCATGATGATTTATTAAAGGGGAGGAGCCGGCGGTTTAAAGATGAGAGAGGAGATTGGGGAGACATTCAATGCTTACTTAAATTAAGAAATTAAATTTGGAAGGAAATATTTCATCCAATTTAATTTATAATTTAAATAGGCTATGAATTAGGAAGTTACCAAAAATAGGATTATAATTTAGGTAACTATTTTAAATTCAAATAGATTTGAATTTACTCATGAATAGAGTTACCTAAAATATAAAAGACTATTTTAGGAAAGGTTTAATGGCGAGTTGGTGATGGAGGGAAAAACCCAAAAGGGAGGAAAAACTTGAAAACTTTCCTAAAATAGATTTTATAATTTAGGAAAGAATTTGAATTTCAAATTTGGGGGAATTTGAATTCAAAGACGAACTAAATTATGGCAATCCAAAATTAGGAAGTATCCAAAGTAGGCAATGAGGATGGGAGAGGATTAGGCCGGCGGGTTGAATGGGGTGGGTGAGAGGTCGGCGGCAAGTCAATGGGTGTTGGTGGTGTCTCGGTGGGTGGAAGAAAACGACGAGGAAGAAATAGAATCTTGAAGGGGAAGTGGGGAATGGAGTTAGAAAAAATTAAAGATAGAAACCACGAACCCGGCCGTCTCCAAGGTTGGTGGGTGATGCACCAATCTCCCTCTCCTAGGGATCTCTCCAAAGTTCTCTCCAAGAACTCGCAAACGCTCTCAAACAAGTGTAGGAAAATTTCATAATAATCATTCATTACTTTTCAAAGAGAACATAGGGCTATAAATAGCCAAGTACAAGGACTCAATAAAATAAAAAGACAACAATGCCCTCAGGGCTTACATACGACTTCCCAAGTAAGAGGTAAAGACAAAAAAACAATTACAACGTAACAGTAAAAGATAAATAACAAAATAAAAACAAATACATGAAATAACTAAAAAGTCATCGACACGATCGTGGCCATAGATCGATGACCACGCCTTTGATTCATGCTCTGATGTCCTCATCACTATGTATTCTTTGGGCAATGATGAAAATGTATGCATGTTAAATTATGACAAAGGTACCATTCACCCAAACTGAATTGGATGGAATGCTAATTGTTGTTTGGACAAGAAAAAAGTTAAATGAAGCTTAATCCTGTATATGTTTAATTGAGACTGAAACCCAAGTTAGGAGGCACTAATTTTCCACCCATTGATCATTTTATTCAGAAGGAATGAATTGTCACCAATCATGTATTGATTGCTACTATTTATAACTAGAAAGACAGTAATCCTCTCACAAACTATAACAGGCATTTACATGACTTGTGTGCAAATTATTTTTTAAATGCTAGCACACCAATAATCATGAATTAATTTGCTTATCAGATCCTCACATCTCTCAATAATCACACAATATTCAGACACCAAGTCCTCCACCATTAATAGAAAAGCTTATTGCTAATTCACTTTTAAAAAAATTCTTAAGTACTCCGAGGAACAAATCAAATTGTTAATAACGGATTATTGGCTGGCTAGCAAGCACTTAAATTTCTCCCCTGGCCATAGTTTAAGTACTAATCACAGTTGAATGCACACCAAGTTCCTAATCATGATACAATATTAATTTTATCCATAAGGGAAGAGTCAAGTAAAGCTAAGTTATTGGATTAACCCACTAAGCCTATAGTGATTTGTGTCAGGATTAACAAGGCCCAAACAGCTGTTTGACGAGAATAGAAAATTGAATTGAGGTAAACCAAAAAAAGGTAAACACCTTGGGCCAATATACCTAAACCACTCAAAATCTCTCCCATTTTTCTCTTAGCTACTAATATAATATGCCCATCCCCACTACCAGGAATATGAATCAATTATACAAAGCCTTGTGTGGTTGAAGATTATGAGCAAAACCACAAGATTTAGCAAATTTCAAGATTAAAAAATCTACAAGATTAATTCCCAGTAATTTTAGAGATCTATAAGGTAGCTTAAGTTGACCAAGATAAGATATAACAAATTATAGTGTTTACCAGAAACTCGAAGCTACTCCATTACCTGCTCCGAAATGTTGATAAACTTTAGGCTGATTTCTTCAAATGACAAAATATAGTTCACCTGCAAAAACATCAAAAATACCAAAACAGGTTTAAATGATTTAATGACATGTATGTAAGAACGGCGCCTTGACAGCAACTGTACATTGCCAAGGGAACACCATTGCAACCTAACGAAGTTAATAAAACCATCTAACACTTAAAGAAAATGATTGCAAGCGCGCTTAAGACCATCATATTCAGAAAGAAAGTAATATAGTTTAATTCATCACATTTAGCAGTTGATTACCAAGAAACAAAGTTATATAGTCAGCCTTGTAACAATAAAAAATTATCAGCTTATGACCCAAAGTCATTAACATGAAAAGATGCATTTGGTGATAGTAACAGTCACAATGAACATTTTAGTAAAACCACTCTACAACGGATTTCTAATCAACTCCTTTCTAACAATTTCAAGCATTATCACGTATCCATGTATGCAACCTGAAACAGGTATAATGTGTCTAACACGAAAAAAAATGAAGAGAAATCATAAGAGTTTAACAAAATATGACTAAAAATGATAGATCCAAAATTTACGTCTTCTATATAAATTAACATTGTGATTGCAAATTCAAAAAAGGTGTCCGTGTGATCAACATAAAAAGATTTCCTTCCAATGTAGCATGACTTTGTGAGCATAATGAGAATAAAATCAATCACCGAGGGGATAGAATTTAACGTGAAAAGGAATGTGAATTAAAAGAGTGGATCGTAGGTAACATTAAGTGAAAATGTATGACGGGGCTAACAAAAACTATAGTTAATGCCAGATGAAAGAACTCCACAAGATTGCACGGCTAAGGATTATTAGTAAAGCTGACCACAAACAGTGAGCTCAAGCCTAATAACAAACAAAATGATCAATAAGAAAATAAAAATAAAAAGAAAATAGGCAGTTGACCTCACATCAATTAAATGATGATTCTTATAGCACTCGCTCCCTGCCCACTCAGGATGTAAGTTCTTGCAATTCTTTAAGATACTATAGGCGCCCGCAATACTAAATTTCAATGGACGAATGAATGTCACCTTTGAATAGGTCAAAGCCTGCATGGCCTTACCACCCTAAAGTGGGTCCATGATATATATACCTCATCATCTAAAAACTTATGCAATAAGTTCAATTCTGCTATAAGAGAAAAATATCATACAACATTTGATCTACTGCATTTGTAAGATTCTCTCTAACAGATGATGTTATCAACTGGAAAACAAGACTGTCTTAGCTATGGTCTTTTTAGCAAGAAAATTACACCCATACTTTCAATCCCACATCATTGGATTCTACACCCAACTTCTGCTAAAGGTCATCTTATGGAAATCAAAAGCATCCAGATAACTAATTAAATAATTGGCAGAATTAAAGGAGTTTGACATTTGCTTCGTGCCCAAACTTGACATAATCATTGGGGCTTGTGGACTCCGTGGTTGAATGTACTCATCCCTGATCTAGACAAGTCACTTGCTCCCTTTCCCAGACCATCTAATTGGACTTTACATGTTGATCTAGAGTCGAGGTCATATCATGTTTATCCCCTCTAGCTGGTCACCCTAGCATATGGACTTCACTAGGAATTTTCTGCAACCAATAATATGGAAGAATATGAATCACTTGTAACAGGGTTCAAGATCGGTATTGACAGTTAAGTTCAATCTTGATGATTCACAAATTTCAAGTTCATTGTTTCTCCAACTGAGGGAGATTTCAAACTCACAACCAACTATTTGTGTAATATCTCAAATTGATAAAATCATTTCTCCCAGATCGACGAATTTCAAATTTTCAGTATAAAGCAATGAATGCTAGGGGTAGAGCCCTCTTTCTTAACGTTTTAAAATAAGGGTTCTGTTGGACAACAAAAAACTGGTTGCCTTGGACTTTATACGGAAGTATAATAACCATCAAATACAATCTAACATCAGTCATGTCTCTGTAGTAGAAATTGTTTCACACTGCAGGCCCTGGCCTTTTACTTAGTGATGGAGCTTTTTTTTCATGGCCAGCGGACAACAAAAATTCACCACTTCACTATGGAGTGCTTCACCCAATGGTGGAGTCCAAGCATATTCCTAAAATCACAAAGGCTAACTCTAAACAGTTCATTTAGAATAATATTATCCATAATTTTGGACGTCTAACAAAGATCATCAATGGTATTGAAACTCAATTCATTAGGAAAGTATTCACTTCTTTTGATCAAGACCTTCATATTCAATTCACATAACTGCCTCCCATCTTCAAACAAATCGACAAGTCAAATCTACCTACAGAGCTAATGAGCTATTCATAAAGGACGCGACGCATTTTCAAAAAGCAGGAGGCAACAGGTTGAGGAGCTACCCAATGTTCTTTAGGCCCACCACAGCGCTTCATCGACCCCTACCAATGAGACATCTTTAATGTGTTTTAGCATGCTGTCATATCAAAAATCATTGGTATTCCAAGCCCCAGGGTCCAATCTTTTAATTTAAGCAATAATGAAGGCAAATTTCAATAACACTTGAATTTATGCCTAGAAAAATGCAACGTAGTCTTACTAAGAACAGCCTCCTATCACCAGAGGGTTCCTCATCACTTCAATGGAATGATGAAGCAGCGACCTATTCCTGATAGAGACTTGGACATGAGAAGCTTAGAAGCCACCATGGAGGGGCCCAATCAGGACAAAATCTCACCCATGTGGCATGACATAGTCAAACTTGGAACATTCAAGCTCAAAGACTTTGAAGAACAAACACATTCCCGAACTTGAAATGTAAAAAACCTCCCTAAATTCTACAAGTTACCCAAGGCATTAATTCACACACTCTTTAATTTTCCTTTTAATTGCTTCAATTCAATATTATAACCTAGTTTCTATTTTAATAATAAAACTTCAATCTACTTTCCTACATTTTCATCTGAGTTAAGATGTTCTTTAGCTTTTTCTCCCTTGAGAAATGTCAAATCAAATGACCTAGAAAGAGCAACAACAGAAAATAGACTAATAATTTACCTTAGATATGAAATGACATGACAATTGCGGCATTCTAATCAAGTAACAATCAATCCAAGGGGGATTCAAATTTAACCTCATCCACCACTAGTAAAAGTTCTCAAGTATAGCTCTAACAAATAACCTAAGATAAGTAAAAAATCATTGGAGGATTTCTCTCGGCTTTTGTTGCAACAGGTTAAGTTCATTGAATGACACAATAGACCGAAAACATAGGGTAGGCCGAATTCCTTGGGAATTTCTCACAAACCTCTTTATCATGAACTAAACACTTCAAAGATTGAGGCTAGAAATTCAGGGAACATGATTAAATAACAACTAAAAACTCTAGACCTTGAGCGAAATATCGAGCTATGGCTCTTAGCCACTAGAATGTCCGGGGAATAATTAAGTGGCATCCAATATCGTTGTTCTGAAAAAGATTGGCAACACTTTATCAGCTTCAAAGCAGTACATCTCACTTTCAACAATTCAATCAGAGGAGCCATGATGTAGAACTATATGCTTTAAAATGATGAAATAAGAATTTGCACGATTTCTTGAATTAAGCACGTACGATTACCACTATTAGCAATCAAAACGATGATAGAAAACAAAAGAGGGGTGCCTACATTTAGGCTAAGCCACATGCCAAACACTTGGAGATTCAAAACAAGTAGAAATTTAATCACATGCAAAGTAAGTAGCTTACAACAAAAATCCCTAATCTAACAATAAGATTAGGAGCAAATAAAGTGCACTCAATCCTACGTTTACTAAGCTTTGGCAACGGCAAAACAAAAGTCCTACGTTTACTAAGCTTAGGCAAAGGTGAAGCTCGGCTCCTTATGAATCTCCATCACCTATAGCTGCCTTGGGACAGCAGTTTGATGATCTTTGGCGGGTGGGCAGCAAAGTGTCTTTGGACTGGTTTCTCTAAACAGCAAAATGAAGCTCTTGGACAGCACACTATGACCTTTGGGTGGCAAGGCAGCCACCAAAACAGTCCAGAATTTCTGGACAGCAATATTGGGTCTTCAAGGATGCTGGACGGCAAGTCAATAATGTTGGAAGATGTGGACGGCCAATTGGATTTTCCAAACAGCAGTTAAAGGTCTTCCAAGATGTGTGGTTGCAAGACAATGCAGGAGATTTCAGGCTGCAGTTGGAGGAAGGAGTAGAATCACTGTCACGTGGAGTTTGGGGAGTTTAATGGAAGAGATCCCACGGGAAAAACCTTGGGGAAAATTCAGCCAGCAGGGATGTAAGGCAAAGATTTAATTCCAAAGATAAAAAGGCTGATTTTATTAATATTTAGGCGGTACATGCATAGGGGAGAATTTCGGCCAGGCTAAGGGCTGGAATTTGTAATCTTTCCAAATGCACATATGGGTTTTAGAAAATAAATCTTTGCATTTAATGTAGAGGGGAGGCCAGCGGCTGAATAAAGAGAGAGGGCTTTGAGTAGTTATTTATTGCTTGCTATTTTGGGATACATAAATTGGGAAAGGCAATTTTAAATCCCAATCAATCATAAATTGATTTGATTGAATTTTAAAGACTTTCCTAAAATAGATATTGTATATTAGGAAATATTTTGAATTTCAAATCACTTGGATTTGAATTCAAATATAATCCTAAATATATTTAACCCATATTAGGAAATAAATAAAAGAGGGGGTAATCAAAAAGGGGGAAAAGGGGGAAGGTGGCCGGCGGCTATGGGGAAATTTTGTGGAGTTTGATGTGGGGAGGAAGTTGAAAAATTTGGAGGAGTTGGATGTGACGAAGACGAATAAAGGAGGGTGGTGAGGGAAGACGAAAATACAAATAGAAAACCACGAACCCATCCATCTCCAAGGTTGGTAGGTGATACGAATTCCCTCTCCTAGGGATCTCTCCAAGTTCCCCTCAAGAACTCTCAAGTACTCTCAAACACAAGCGTAGAAAATTTTCATCATCATTCCTTAACTTTGAAGAGCAACATGAGGGCTATAAATAGCCTCTTGCAAAAGGACTCAAAATAAGAATACGACAATGCCCTTAGAGCTTACATACGACCTCCCTTAAAAAAGGGGTAAAACAGGAAAACAATTAAGACATAAATAATAAAAGACAAATAACATAACAAACGACAAATACATGAAAATGACTCAAAACTACAACAACTCGATCGTGGCCGTAGATCGACGGCTACGCCACTGACATACGATTCATGCTCTGATGTCCTCATCAAGCCAACCAAAATTGAACAATAATATCAAAGACATGAAAAATTAAAAAAAAAAATTAAAAAAAAAAATGCAACAACATGAATCCTTTTTCTCCATTGTGTCATATTAAGAGTCAAATTCTCATTTAGATCTAATAAAGAAATGTCATTTCTAATATTTTCTAACCAAGTCTTTTTATCTCTACCTTTATCTTTCTTAACATCGGTTAAATCTAATACATCTACTCTCCTAATCGGGTCATCGGAAGGCCGTCGTTTTATGTGAAAAAATCATCTAAGGCGACTCTCTCTAATCTTATCTTCCACTGGAGCTACTACAACCTTTTCATGTATATGCTCGTTTCGTATGCTATCTCTAAGAGCAAAGCCACTCATCCACCTAAGCATCCTCATCTCTGCAACACTTAACTTAATATTATGCTTCTATTTTAATGGCCAACATTCTACGTCATAAAGCATTGCAGATCTAACCACCATCTTATAGAATTTTCCCTTAAGTTTGAGTAGTACTTTTCTATCACACAACAAGCCTGATGCATTCTTCCACTTCATCCATTCAACTTAAATTCAACTAATAATATCCCCATCTATTTCACCATCACTATGCCCAACATCAACTAACACCGACATCCACCACACTTGTTCGTAGTCGACCAATGCCAACATCCACCATTGCCCATCCGTCATCGACTTACAATGACAACCATCATCAACAATCCCCAATTGCTCGTTGGTGTTAATTGCCTTTCATTGTTTTCAAACATTTTTCACCACCTTAGCAAGAGACTACCCAATAATTTAGTCCAAGTTATCCCACCTTTATCCACAACATAAAAGGCCAAACTATCGCAATATTTTAAAAAATAATGATATAGCCATTTCAATTAAGCAAAGCCCCATGATTTTTTCCTTAAATAAAAAATTATGTCTCCAGCGTCCCATGGGTTCTATCAATGCATGTGGAAATTTTGATGCAGCATTAAGACAATAAACTCTCGCTCTACCGTCCATAATCTTTTAGCATGCAACAACCACAAAGCATGAAGTCTACATAATATTATTAATCTGAAAACTAATAACTCAATTCCCTTTCATGTTTCAGTAAAGTGCTAAAAAATTCTTGAAGTATTGTCTAACAAGCTACTATCACTATCTTAATGAACCAAATTCCATCTTAGATCAGCCGTATTGCTCCAAGTCTGCCTTCCAATTTGAAGGCTTAAATAATAACAGGCAAAATGTGCTACTTTAGCACATAGCATCCACCTAAACAACTTCTTTGTTCTTGATATTTATACCACAAAATTACAAAATACCATATAGCCCAAGGAAGGTTGAATGTTTTATCAAACTAAACTACATTTAAAAATAAAAACATTTATATGCATTGTCTCATTCAGCGGAAAATAGATATGAAGCACTAAAAGGTTGCAACCAAAGTACAAGCAAAAAAAAATATAAAAGTTTGTTAAAAGAAATCTAACAAAAAGTTACTAAAGATGGAAATGAAAAAACCAAGCAAGTAAATGATAAAAATTGCACTAAAAAGGTCGTCCAAATGTCGAAGATGTACAGATCATACCTTGGCATAGAAGGATGCAGCTCTAAAGTATTCTTTTGAAGAAAAAGCATCATCAGCCTGCAGAAGAACTATTTGAGTCTTTCTCTACTGAAAATTTAATGATTATCAGATACTTGGTAACTGCATAGCATTGCACATTACCTGCATTAAATATACTTGATCTCTCTGTAATGGAGACCGACAACTGGCTAAGGCAGCTGCATATTCCTTCGTGTCTAAGTAAACTTTCCACATGTCTCGGCCTTCATCTAGAGTAGACACCTGAAGAATAGGCCATTGTTTGCATCGGCGATTTTACCTTCACAATTTGAAAACTCCGACAGCACATCAATTTCAAAGAGATAAACAAACCTGGAATACAGAACTATCATCATATGCATAGAACAGTCCAGCAGTGGCATCACTGCATAAACCAATTATGCCTTTTGAAACCGAATCTGGTGCGTGGTCAAATTTCAGTTCCTCAACAATTTGTTGACTAATTCTGTTAACAACCTGCACCATATACGGAATTCAGATAGTAATAGTAAATCAATATCAACAAGGATGATAAATTGTTATTTAATCATTATTTTTGTAGATGCCAAAGATGGTGAAAGCTTTCACAATATGCTCTAAGAAAGCCTGATTAGAATTCATCTTGTCCCACAAGCACACATTTCAAAAGAATATTGTGAGGCCAACAGAATTTCAATCTGTTAAAATTCTGTTTCTAAAAAAAATTATGTTGCATGTGTTTAAGATACACAAAATATATCTACATTATTTGATAATTAGACTGCTATCCAGAAACTCTGCCTACGAGAAAATCACACTTGTTTGATTACAAATTAGAAGCTGACAGTCAACACTTCATGGAACTATTCAGTATAAAGTGCACCATCAAATAAACACTTCTTATGTACGACGCGTGCCGTCACTACCAATCTGCCATTACGAAATAATATTCCCATTCTTATAAAAAAAAAAAAAAAAAAAACTGGTTCTCATTTTGATTTCCATTATTCTAAAATAAAATACTCCCATTATAAACGAATGATCCATAGCCTATTAATTTTATGGTGTAAGCCTACAAAGAGAGGCTAGAAAGGATACAAAAAGGTTTAAGAAATTTTTCTGGATGTTCCCTCAACGTAGTTTCAAACTATTGATGACTTCCAATCGCTTTTTTAGCCTCAATCTTCTTATGGAGAGCAAATTTTACCTTTATTCCACCCAACAGAAAACCAACCACCGGATTCTTCTCCAATCAACCATGGCAGTTTTCATTTGCTGGACAGCAAAAAGTATTAACAGTTTTTAGCCTTCGACAACCAGTTACTGTTCCAACTTCGCAAGCACAACAGCAGAGCAAGCAGCGAAAAAGCAATAAATTAAAAAAATAATAATTTAATATAAAAATAATTAATATTATATTAATTTTACATTAAATAATTATGTTTAATTAAATTATAAAAAATGATGTAAAGAAAATTTACTTAAAATATTATAAATATATGTTAACACTTATCTTATATGACAGTATGACACCTGTCCCCAACAAGTGTTGTTCGCTAAACTGTTCATGCACTGGCTTATGGCTCTATTTAAGAAAGCAAGGAATGCAGAGAGTGAAAACATGGAGAGAAATAGAGAGTGAGAGAGTGTGTGAGAAAGAGATAGCAAGATAGAATGCGAGCAAAGCCGCTAGGATGCCTTCAAGCAGGTTAATAATTTTCCTATTAATTTTTAATATACCAAATAATTCGTATGTGTTGTGCATTTCATTATAAAGATTCATACAAAGAAGATTCATACAAAGAAGGGAAAACTGATTAGGCCAGAGGCTTAATTGATTTAGCATTTATCAAGTAAAACCAAACTTTGAAAAGAAGATTTAATTTGAGAGATGTTATTATTTATTAATCCAATTAGTGAGTGGTTAATTGGGACAAGGGAGGATGCTGGTGCATAACAATTTGATGATGAAAATCTCACTTGGAGACAAATTAAAGAGGCATCCGAAAAAATTGATCAAATGTAGCCTATGAGAGTTAGTAGGTCAAAAATAAGGGAGTGTTCATCCACAATGAGAGCTAATTCATCTTAATCTATGTCCACTTCTATTATTCAAGAAAGAGAATATGTGATTAACTCACAAAAAGAAAGAAGAGAAGAAGAAAATTTGAAGATGAAGAAATTTAACTTTAAGGAGAAGGAGATTATGTGAATGAAAGAGAGGATGATGACTAATGAATTTCCTTTAACTTGCATTTAAATGTGGCCTTTATTATGAATTCAATGTGTTTTTATGCAATCTAGAAGTTTTCAATTTTCACAGCAAATTATTATAATAGTTTGAAACTTATAATAGTTAGCTAATTCCTATTCATAATAAAAATTGTTAGAAATTTTGATTTGCAAGTTCACTTCCAAAGTTTATTGGCATGTACATCATATTTCTTTTCTATTATGTACTGAATTTTTAAGGCATATATTAAATAATCCATGTTTTATAATTGTTAATGAATTTATCATTAAATTTATAACTTTATGAAAGCTATGAGTGCTTTAGTTAAAAGCATCGCTTCACTTTCCACTTTGGCCAATGAAGCAAAAAAGGCACACTTGTTCATCGCATTGCGCTTTGCACGTTACACTTTGAAAACACTGGAGAGCATCGTGTTTGGCACTCAGTGTTGGCATTGTATTTTCCATTTTCAGTTTATATTGATGCAATAATGCCTTTGGTGGTGCCTATGATATTTGTTATCATTTTTAGTTTTGATTATCTTGATAGGTTTGCAAGTTTATTCAATCTAACTCATAGATACCTTAGTTCAGCCTTTTTTTTTATTCCAGACTGAAATATTCAATACACAGCTAGTTCCCATGTTTTCTTTTCAATCACTACTTAATCACTATTTTGGGAGATGGTACTATAGTTGGAATCGTTATGCTTACGTAATGACTGCTGGCATGATTGACCTAACACTACTATTTACACCTTTCCTTATATTGAAGACTTCGGTTGGGAGGTTTCCTCTAATGTATGTATATTGATGTAGGCAAACTAGAAAGAAAAAGCCAATAGAAGAGAACAACTAGAACAACTAGAACAAAACTCGAATCAATTTAGAAAGCCAACATCCAAACAAAACATCGAAACCACCCAAAATCGAACAAACGAAACAAAATCTAAAAATAAAAACACTATCTTTAGAACAACCGGCTAGCGGTTTCCTCACATGCAACAAAAAGCTGGTAAAATAAGATAAGTGCTTAGGGCTTGCAAACCAAGGGTCCACCACAGCAACAAGGCCCAACGTCCATCCAAACTCCTCCAGCAAATGTCACCAAATTTTGCCAACAAACACCTCCAATAGCTCAAGAATAATGATACAAGTGGAGTGGAACTTGCGTAGATAATAAGAGATTAGAAGCCAAGACGAAATAGAGAGAAGGAAGAGAGAATTCTTTTCAAAGAAAGGAGAAGAAACCCTCAGGTTTTGTAGAGACTTTACTCAAATTTTCAACAACTTCTCATGTCAAAAAACGTCTCTAATTTATAAGAGAAGAGGGGGCAGCCAAATAGACAATTTACTTCCAAATGAACCAATCAGAAAAGGCCAGGATAATTCCAAAACAGCACCCGAAAAGTCAGCAGAGGAAACCGAGTAAAGCAGCCATGGGAAAGGAGCAGACATCCAAGGAATCGGGATAGAGCCAAGGAATCGGAACAGCCCACGGGAAAGAGAGCCAGGGGGATCGGAACAGCCCACGGGAAGGAGCAGCTAGGAGGAAAAACCGAAGAGACACAGGGAAAGAAAAGAGGCAATAATTCCACTCTATTTAATGAGCTATCCAGTAAAAGACTTTATATAATATTGAGCTAAAGTCTCAGCTCAATCAATGATGAGCTAGAACCAAATAGCTCCCAAAAATTCAGCTCAAAAGTCAAAACCAAAGCAGCCAAAGCCCAACCCGAGAGGCAACCAGCAGCCCAAAAACCAAAAGAACCCAAGAAGCTAGCACACCCAAGGCTTGCCATGCTCAAGCACTACCTACTCATGATCATTGGATGTTTTCCATCATAGGATAGCATAAAATAAAACCAAAAAATTTATAATATTCAAATTACAATAAAAACGAAAATAAACTAAAATATGCATGCATCATATATGCATTGTAGTACATAGGTATCTTGTCATTTTGTTCTACAGGAAATGAAAACTAGCAAATCTTACTGGAATCCATTTTTTGTTGAATTTAAACTTATAGCTTTTGACCAAACCTTGATGGAATCTAAGAACTTACTAATTTTGGGCCTTTTAGGGTTATAAATAAAACCTTGAGACCTCAATTTTGGCAAGAATTATTGAACAAAAAGTTTTTATTTTCCTCACAAACTTGTGTTCATTAATTGTATGTAAATTCTTGGATCCTATTGCAAGTCGATAACAACTGTCAGGGAAGCTTCTCTATATACTAATGTGAGGCCTGTATCTTCAAATCAGTAACTTCTACCCTTGTTCATTTCATAAACTATTTTACGATAAATTTAGCCTGGGTGAGGGAGATTTGTTCAAGTTTATTACATATTGATTTCTCCTCTTTGCGGTGTAGATTAGATCCTAAACCATTGTTGATTTCATTTATTCTCAGGTTTCTTGCATGCCAACTAAGTCACAAATCAATAAAAAGATAGAACCACAAAAAACATCTGATAGCTAAAAGAAATCATCACTGCAAACTCCATATGCATTTCTAAGATGTGCTTATTCATAAAGATCATTGCACAACTGTTTTCTACAAACTTCTAATCCCGCATAAAGAAAAAAAGGGGGAAAAATGGAAAACAAACACACCACTGGACAGCAAAATCAATACCTAAAAGCAAAAATAGAAAGACAACTTGAAATGCAAGATAAAAAAAATAAATTTTCTTGAGGATCTCATTAGAAAAGTATCATGGATGAACCTGCATTACAATAATCCCCTCAAACATGAAAAGTGCCCCCACGGAACCCCATCAAAAACAAGATAAAAAACAAAGTATCTGAGTTATTGTAAAATAGATCTCTGAAAATAGTCAAACACTAAACAACATGATATGCCATAACAACATCAGCAAAGGCCCGCTTCTGAATCCAATTGATTCATTTTAGATTTGCATCTATAGTACTTTCCCTTGATAATGTCAATTGCACGACTCATGCTGTGAATATCGTTCCATTTATGACCAAGAGATTTTCCGCATAACATGACTATATGTGTATGAAAACCTGATGGTAATCAACAATGATCTAGGATATTCCGCCATAAGGTAGATGAAAGAAGCCCCTGGTAAACCTTAAGATTGAGTAAAAAGTCAAGCTAAAAAGATTTCTGGAAAACATCACCAGACATGCATATCATAACTCCCTGCACAGAAATTCAAGAAGTCCTCAAACAGAAAGCATATAATTTCCAGTAAAATAACACTCCCTTGGCACAATTATACATGCATAAACATACCTTGACCTTTTCTCCAATAAGAAGAAGAAAATGATATTCAGACACTGCTAAAGACCTCGGCTTCATTGCTTCCCCCAGTTTTTCATAGTTTAGTAGACCCTTGTTTTCCACAAAATTCTCATCTCCTCCACTTGAACTATTTAACATAACTAAAATAATTATAATTTGTTTAGGCACTCCAAATCATGCTAAAAAGAAAGATGATGACACAGCGTAAAGATGTTCCCAAGACTAAAACTTGTACAATGAGATGATTAAGAAATACAGCAACAGTTATTTCAGTATATAACAGGAAGAATGTCATATACAAATGATATACCTATGCTGGGCACCAAAGTTCAGTTCACCGTGATAGATTCCAGCACCAGAAAGCCAAGCAAAATGTTTGGCCCTTCTCTGCATGATAAAGAAATGCAGTTCACTGCAAATCAAATGAAGAACCATGTCAAATAATTCAGCTTGGATTTACAAAATCCATTAATAAGCTATCATAAATTATAAGTTTACCAATAAAACATGGTAGCGGTTCTGAAGGATACACAAAAATAAAGAAACCAAATAATTTAGCATTTCTAAGCAGAATATGGAGCCTCATGGAGAGAAAAAAATTTTAAGTTTCGTGTTCAAATTAAGATTGCATAAAGTTTCTTTTTTTTTTTTGCAAGAAAGCTTGCAATATGAATTTTCATGCTCCAACTAAGTTTTAATAATTCAACATTCTCCTTACATCCTAATAAACCCTCATCACATGTCATTGGTAACCTTCAAGAAAGAAACACTTCTTTAGTTAAAGAAGATGGTAAGTGTCCTACTTCGCACTTTCCTTTTTCACTGGCCACTGACTCTCTTTATCTATGTATGGTCAATAAATACTCATATTGCATTACATGTTGCAATAACTTGATGTATTTCAAGTTCTTTCACAATGCAGAGGTGGCTAATATTTCAATTTTACAAGTGATGATAGCCTCTGCTTTAAAAAAACTATGTTCTACTTATTTCACAAGCCGAAGCTCAAGACAATCAAACCCAATCAATTAATTGAGCTAGCCTCTTTTATCCCTACGAAATACAATCCAATTGCATTTCAACCAATTCAAATTACTCAACCTGTATTCATGAAGAACTCAAAGCTTTTAGAGATATCTTTCTAGAGTTGTCATGGAGGTCTTGAGAACTACAACAATAACCTTCTATTGATATTGCTAATCTAGGAAGTTGTTCTTTCCCTTAGTCCCTCTGATGAGGTCATCGACAGACATTTTAGGCAGGTTTATCGGCGAAGGAATCGTAGATCGACGGCTACGATCGGGAGTTTATATTTTTGATGTTGTCATGTCATTTTTATGTTATTTTATTTTATGTATCTTTTATTTCATGTACTAGTGACGATTTCGCCCTAATGAAGGCGTAGTGTTTGTTGTAGCCCAATGGGCATGTGAGTCTTTTTAGTTTCATGCTTTGAGATCTTTATAAAGGGATTCCTCTTATTGTATGAGGGATGCTTGATTAATAAAATTCTGAGATTTTTCTTTTGTCTTCTTGATTGAGAGCTTGAGAGAAAGAGAGGAGGCCTTGGAGAGGCTCCACCCTATACACCCAACAGCCCACCACGGTGAGCTCTTGGTTTTATCGTGTTTTATTCACTGTTTTCCTTCCTCCCCACCCCCATTCCACTCACCCGAACCCGCCCCTCTCCCCTCTCCATTTTCTCTGCAGCCGCCCCTCCCAAATTCCCCTGAACCCGCAGACTTCCCCTGCCCGTCTCCCCCTTGCCGCCGGGCTACCCCACCGCCGTCGCCCCTGCCCAGCCGCCGGTCCCCTCCCCTCCCATCACCACAGCGACCCGATCTCCCCTCTTCCTTGGCTAATCCCTCCAGCCGGATTCATTTGCCTTGGAGGAGTTTGAATATTCAGGCCATTAAACCCCCATTAAATTCCTTCCTAATTTGGCTCCTCAAATTATGAGCAATTGATTGAGGATATACCTGAATTCAAATTCAAATTTCCCCCCTCTCTTTATTTGTAACTTCCCCAATTGATTGAAAATCGAAATTAAAACCTCAATTTTAATTAATTAACATGGGGCCACTACTTATGAAATTTTCCCCTTATTCTTCCTTTGCTTAGCCCGCGCCCCAAACCCCTCACTATTCTCTCTCTACTGCCACATAAGCAACCACACTAATTCCCCTCTTAATTCTCCCTAATACCGGCCCCTTTTTAATTCAAATTTTGGAGGTTTCAATTGCAATTTAACACTTCTCCCTCCAACCCAAGAAAAGAATTTCAGATTTTTCTCTTGGTCTTCTCCTAGCTCACGGCTCATTCTCCGTCCCTTGTCTTCTTCCCGCCCTTAATGTTGAATGGTGGATCCGGAGCTTGAATGGGGATTGTTATTCCACGCCGACGGGAGCATCAATATCCTACGATCTCCGTGCTTTGACGTAGGATTTGAAGACGACGCCACAATTGAAGAGTACTTGGAGCGAGTCGTCCTGATTCTTGCAAGCATCTTCGACCGACAGTTTCGTGACTACACTTGGACGATCATCGAACGCCATCCACCACCACCTCCTCAGGCGACTACCTCTCCGGTAACGAAGTCTTTCGTCTCCTTTTCCGTAGTGGTGCTCTCCATCTTCGTGTGGTTCTTTCTTCTCCGCTAAAGCCCAAGAGTGAACGAGAGAGAGAGGGTACTCAAGGTGAAATTCTTCATTATTAATTGTGGGATTTTTGTTATGAGCAATTAAGTAGATCTTTTATTTTGGGAGTGTTATGAATTGTTTGGTTATCTCAAAGCAAATCTTCGCCTAAGCAAGTTAATTACCTAGAATGATTTAATCCTTTATTTTATTGATAATAAAATTTGTTTGACAACGCTTTGAATAACTTTCATGTTATTTTCCAAATGCAATTCCTACATTGATTCACATCACCCTCTTTTATGGAGTGGATTTTGCTAGCTTAGTAATATAACCAAAGACCTTTGAATCTTGGTCAAAAAAACATGTCAACCCTTTGAAATATAAGCTTCATATACCAGGAGAATCAAAGTAGAGTGAATTGTCTACTTCATCCCTTAATCATCAGTCATTGGGTTTGTCAATTTAGTTAGTTTATTTATTGCATGATGTTTATATCAATATAATTATTTATCATGCTGTTATATGGCATTATGTTAGATTATCCATGAGATTATGAGTAATGCTATATGTAGTACTCGAAGGGTTATAATTCAACTGAGTAATGAAGAAATAAAGGTTATGGCCTTTCATTAGCATCCTTGACAACAATTAGTTACTCCATCTATCCTAGACATGAGATTTTTTAATTCTCTCTTTTCCCTTGCCTACATCTCCTCAAAGTTTTCATTCATTAATCTTCTATTTCTCCTTACCTACATGATCTTCTATGCCAGATTCTTCCTTTTCCAATAACAAGGCATCAAAATTCAACATCGATATATATTTCTCCTATCCCATTCCTCATCAACAACGGTTCTCAAGAAAAGAAAAAACTAAAAATCTTTGTGCATTTGCACGTATCTTTTGAAGCAAAGCTGGCAGCACATAATTCTTTGACTTCCCACCTCAAAAATGCATGCATCCAAAGTTGTTAAAGACAAAAGACTAGTTTAATCAATGTTAGATTTTATGAAATCTAGCAACCTTGCTATTTATACTATAGACTCCCAACTTATTAGAAGGAATATATCTAGTATATCAAGTAGCACATAAGCATATCGTGTAAAGTGAAAGTGATGTGACATAAATGGAGGGAGTACAATAACTCTTTGTTTCTCTTCTTGATCTACTAAATCCTTGGGCAATATCAACTCATCTTCCCATTTCTTTTGTGGGTCAAAAAATATAACCCCAAAAGATATTGAGGTCGAGCTGAAGGCTTGTAGTTTTCTTGAAGCATGTGGAAGATAGTATTTAAGAGTAATCCAACCTCAAAAAAATGTTACATTCCATTCTCTAGCTCCCTTATTTTTCTAGTCAACATTGGACAAGCTTTAAAAAACTAGTACATCACGGCCCACCCAGCAGCAGAATAAGGCCCCAGCCATCCTGTCCCAATGACTGCACATTGTATTTGTTTAATATAAATACTGAAGCAATAAAATTTTGACAAAAAGAGATGATATCATTAGAAGCATTGCTAAAACTTAGCAAACTTAAAAGCAAATGAAATGATTCATAAGAAAATGGGAACTCCATATTGGGAGGGGAATTGTAAAAAGGATCAATATTGGCTGAGAAAAGGGTGTAACGATATTCAACATGAAAGCATTCAAAATGTTATTCACCGCTGTAGAGGTAAGATCTATGGATCCAACTTACTTGGTAAGAGCTACATTTTGTTTTAATGAGATAGAAAATGCAAGGAAAAATAATAATAATAATAACAATAAATACTTCTAGGATAAGAAACTTCATGAATTATTTCTTAGACCCCCTTCAACTACAGCCATAAAAAGTAGTACTTGCCTATTTGGGATTTCTCCAGGAAGCTCCATAAAGTGCACTGCACGATCTGAGTAGCTAGCAAACACTGTCTGCAAAAGACTTAAATAGTAATATTCATATAATAACTAAACTGTTCGTGATTATCACTAATCAGAACTGAAGTAGCATGTTTTTTGCCCAAATATGAGTTGTACTTTACATTGAAAATAATTTCAAATCCAATTTGAATCTAAATAATTGAAACGTGAGAAACAAGTTCATGCTTATTGTTCACCACTAGATATTTGAATTCAAATGGAAGACCAATCATCTCTGATTTTTTTTTTGCATATTCAATTCAAGGGATCAACTAAACTTTTAGCAGCCAAAAAAGGACCTTTGAAAAAAGTACCTCATCATATTTATGTCAGAAATCATCTAATGAAATCAAAGAATTTGAAAAGAAAATAGATATAATTTAGAATTACAGAATATAAAAGTGTTTTGTATTGACATCCAAAGACAACAACATTTGAAAGTCAATTACAGGGATCTTAAAAGTACATAACAATAATTAAGCAAGAATTCAATTTGCTATCTAAAATGAATATTGGGTGTACATTAGGATTTTGTAAGGATTTAAAAAAACATTAGCATGCAATGTAAATTCGACTTGACATAAAGATAAAAAAATTAAAAACAAATCATTATTAAGTATGTTGTTCTAGTCTAAATCTTTAAATTCCTAACCCCCGGCCTTTAAGTAGGTGTCTCAACGATTTCCTTAGATGACCATACAATCCCAATTTGATCTCCTTTCATTCATTTTCCTAGATCCACCTGCCCAAATATACTTATATTTTAATCCTTCCAATTTTATATGCAATGATTACCATAAAGGATTGCAAGCACGTGATTCAATGTTCAAGAGCATTATAAACACTAGTTAACTGCAACAAGAAATACAGCAGAAAAGGGATACGAGAAGAAAGCAGAGAAGAATGAGTCAACCTATACATACTATTTAAACAAATTGAACAAAACAACGATTCACAAAAAAAAATATTTACAAAGTGCGTGTGTGTAAATGTGTATGATACAAGTCAACCACAGGACAATATGCCAGTTCTAAGTGGTGAAATTGAGCTTTGCCAAACTTATAAGCTTACATCTAATGCTCCAATGCCCGTGAACGAGTACAAACGTGTTGGTGTGACGGCCATGACATAATATCTCATAGCATTGCCAACGGAGGCAGTTTCCATCTGAGTTATAGGAAAGAAAAAAGTAGCTAGTTAATATTTATTTTACAAGTAAATGATTCAGAAAAAAATCAATAAATCCACAGCACCTGCAAGCCCATGATAGCTTCAGGAAGCTCAGTTAGCTCAAATAGAAACTTTATATACTTCTCCTTCTTGTCCACTTCATCAACTGACATCTCATACATTTGCCCGTTCTCGGTTCCAAGAATCACTTCACGAGTTGAAGCTTAACACCCAAAAATACAATACAATTCAAACACCTACTCCTTTAGTGAAAAAAAATCAAGAACAAACCAAGAGCATGAGAACCCTCACACTCAGTGATCTGCTGCCGATTCCAAGCAACTGCATTCACTACCAGGCCCTTCAGCCGACTTAAAACCCTAGGCCTAGCCCACTTCGCGTGCGTATAATAAGTCTCCGTGCCGCCGCTGTGAAGAACATTAGCAATGCAATGGCTGCCGCCAGGGTCAACGAAGACGCGGTGAACAGGCTGTTCGCCACCACGGCCGCCGGATAAGTCCACATCTGGAATCGAAGATATCAACGATAATATCCGTCGGAGAGTTCTGGAAGCAAAGCAAGATAAAAAATTTCGAACCGTAAGAATCTCCAACGCCGAAGTCGTGCCTGATAAGCCACCCCTTACTAGTGCCGATAAGGATGACGTCATTGCCGGCGGCCATGCAGGTGATAAAGCCGTGGCCTTTGGCGCCATTCCGCTCGAGCAGGTCGACAGAAAAGACGTGACCGCCGGCGTTCATTTGGCCGAATGATCGGAGCCGACCAGAACCCTAGAGGGCAGTTTGGTAGCAGGATTTTACCTAAATCCTACCAAAAACCAAAAACGACAAGATTAAATTCGGATCTTAATCCCGTTTCGCCTCCTTTTGCAATAAATCCCTACCTGGCATTGGGCGGGTTTAACTTAATCCGCTAAGTCTCACAAAGTCTTCTTTTTCTACACGCTGATGAACTTGTCGAAGCCGTTTATAGCGATCACCACTGGCGCCATTATCGCTTCTTTGTCGTCGAGGGTTTCGGCGGATTTGAGGAGAAGTGAGGGTAGAAATATATTAATTAAAATTTTAAATTAATACTTATAATTAATAATGATAAAAAATATATATATAAATTTAAGCAAATTAATGTTATTATTGTTTAATTTGACATAATAAATTTTATTTTTACATACCTAACAAACAAAAGTTCTCTATTTACTTATCTAATATCTAAACTTTAATTTTTACTATTATACCATCGTAGTGACCTAGTCCTCATCAAACCTAGCACTCTGTCTACTCCCATCAAAGTCAAGTCGTGAAAACAACATTTTGCGCGCGGGAAAAATCCAGGAACAGCTCTCGCATTGCCTGCAGATCTCTCGCATGCATCATTTTCTGCAAGTTCAAACGTCCCGTCTGACTCCAGTGCAAATGTACCGCCGGAGCAAACATCCGAATACATCTCCAAATTTATTTCTGCAAGTTTTGTTTCTCCCGCCGGTGCAAACATCGCACAAGCTCATTTGGCCGCCGTTCCTATTTAGGTAACATTTTTATTCATTTTGGCAACCGGTTAAGCATTCAGGTTGAAGATTACAGAGAAAAAAATTGTTTGAGTTTTATTCATTAATAACTGGATTTCTATTTCTGCCATTTTAATATCTCCTGTCCGACAGCTACTTCATTTTCTATTTCCACTTCTATTTGCCTATTTTTTGTTCATGTTCATTCTAATTGCTTGAGTTATTTTTTTTCATTAATAACTGGATTCTCAAAAAATGGAATGCAACAATTTGTGCTCTATTGTCTTTAAATATGGAGGATATTGGGTTGATGTGAAGGGCCAAAGCAGGTTGAAATATGTAGTTGGAAGTTAGAAAACTTTGAGGTTCGAGAAAGCTGATTTTAATTTGTTATTATTGAAAGAACAAACTAAATCAGTTTGCCGATGGCTGCGGGGTCAAGCTTATGACCTACACTATCATGTTAATGGAACATCGCCTAAGATTTATATGTCGATTGGTAACGATGGTGATGTAATGAACATGCTTATATGTTCTTGTAACGACAATAAAGTTGAGGTGGTCGTTATAGTGAAAGATTTTGAAGAAAGTTTGAATAATGTTGATAACATTCAATCTGGTGATATGCAAGATTTAAGTGAGAGCAGCATAGTGAATAATGACATTATAATAGATGGGTTGTGTGATGGTGGCTTTGCGTCTCAGGTTTAAGAGAAGTATTCTTTAAGTGTTCGATCACGTTTTGAGGATTCATCAAGTTTTAAACAAGTTGTTCGTTCAAATGCAATTTTGCATAACTTTGGTATCAAGATTAAAGCTAGTGACAAATCCATAGTTATTGCTACATGCACATACCGTGGATGTCCATGGAGAATTCGTGCTTCATTATGTTCAGATGGGCATTCATTCAAAGTTAGAAAATTACTAGGTTCACATTTATGTCCAGGGGTAAACAGAACTGGAAAAAAGCAAGCAACTGTAACATGAATTGCTCATGAAATCAAGGATCTTGTAAAAAGAAATCCTTATATTACACCAAAAGACATAAGCAATAACTTAGAGACCACTTTTGGTTTGTCTTTACCATACATGAAAATATGGCATTCTAGGGAATTAACAAGATAGCAAATGTTTGGTTCAATAGATGAAAATTACAATTGGGCTCCCACAATGAAGTTAGAGCTAATCAATAGGAATCCTGACTCCATATAGCATACCTATGTGACAACCAAAATCACTCATTTAAGAGGTTCTTTATTAGTTTCAAAGTTTGCATTGATGGGTTCTTTGCTGGATGTCGATATTTAATCGGCATTGATACTTGTCATTTGAAGTCAAAGCACTTAGGTGTGTTAATAGCTGTGAATTGTTTGGATGGTAACAATGGTCTTTACACTGTTGAGTTTGCCGTTACAAAATCTAAATCAAAGAGAAGTTGGGAATAGTTTTTAATGAATTTGGCAGAAGCTTTTAGTGTTGATGTTGAACATCTAGCATTCATTTTGGATATGGAGAAAGGTTTTGGTGAAGCAATTAAGGTTATCTTTCCTAATGTTGAGCACAAAATTTGCATGAGACGCCTTTGGAAAAACATAAAAAAACTTTTTCGTTATGATGATAGTCATAGATTGCAGAAGTTGGTGTTGAGTGCTGCAAATTATTATAATCAACTTGAGTTTAATACAAAGATTGAAGAAATATATTGTATTAGTCTTGAACTTCATTCCTACCTAAGCTCTTTGACATGCAAGTGGTCAAAAACTACTTTCTCAAAGAATATTAAGAACCACTACAACATAAATAATATGGCCGAATCTTTCAACTCTTGGATAGAGGAGGCAAGGAATAAATCCAATGTGGATTTGATCGACATGATAAGGGGAATGATGATGGAACAACGATCTCAGTGCAAACTACACTCTGCTTCTTGGAAGGGCCCTTTGGTTCCATTTGTGGAGGATTATATTAGAGATGTTACAACAAGAAAAGAATATTTCATTATACGTCAGTCAACTTCAACAAAAGCTGAAGTAGAAGGAAGTTTTGAGCGTCATGAGGTAGACATAGAAAACCATTTTTGTAACTGTGGTTTTTGGAAACTATATGGGCTACCACGTATGCATTCGGTAGCATTTGTTGGAACAAACTGTCACAATTTGTGGCACACATACGTGGATGAGCACTACTACAGCTATAAGCTAGTTATCTGATTAAAGTAATTTTTTATTTTAATGCTTTTTGTATTAACTACAATATATTTTACAGGTACAAAATGGCTTACGATGGACCTATTGCACCACTTTCGGGGAAGGAACAATGATTCGTAGCGAGTGATGGCATGTTTATTTTACCTCCCATCACACTCAGGCCTCGTGGCCAACCAAAGAAAATAAGAATTAAGAACTTCTTAGAAGTTACCAAGAAATCAAAAATAAGTCATAAATGTGATCTTTGTAACTCTTGGGGTCACCGTAGAAGCACTTGCAAGGAGCTGCTAAACATTCATGGAGAAGATATTCAGTCTAATTTATCGGCAAAGATACCCATATGGCGGGCAGACTTCAGTTCGGAGCATAATTTAATGTTGTTCTTTAGAACGTTTTTTGTTGTTCCCATAGTTTTTTTTTGTTAAGATAACCGTACGATTTTTTTGTTGTTCTGATTATTTTTTTGATGTTCTACAATACGCTTTGGAAAACCTGTATAAACTGAAATCTTATGAGTAACCATAGAGCATGGGTTGTGAAAGGAAAATTAGCATATCATATTTTTCATGAACCTCACTTATCGCTGATCAGGCATGATTTGTAATTCAAATGTCATCTAAATTAAGTACTCAATTAGTAAAAACTTTATAATCAACTTTACGATCTCAAGTAAATACTTTAACTTCAATTTTCCTTTCTTTTGTCATGGCATCAACTACAGCAAATTGCATATCATGATAATTGATCCATAGACAATGCATCTTTGAAGCGTTCTGCATTGATGACAGCATGTTCATCTCCAATAAATTGAGGCATAAATGATGCATTGCTTGTACAAATATATATCATGCATCTTCTCACATTGAGCATGCATAATTGATTGGAGACATTGTGCAGTAATAATAGATTGATCGGGCATTTCAAACACAACTAAAGACATAAATAATGGTGAAAATATTCAAATCTGCTTACAACAAAACTTCATATTTTATATCTATAACAAAATAAAAAACAAAAGACAACATAACTTCATTTTTTTTTCATTAAAACATAAGACTCAAGTGCTTCTTAATAACATTCTAAGATACATTCATTTGCAATTACAAGTCTTCGATTGAGAATTGGCGGCAACAGCAACAACAACATGCAAAATCAGTATAACCAACAAGAGTTTAATTTGAAATAACTTAAATGTAATTGTGACTACATGCTTTGAATGAACTTCTGATTCATTTTCACTCCTTAAGAGATTCATATATTCCTCTTCATCATTTTCTTAATCAAACTACTTAAAAAAATCTACAATCATCTTCCGATCTATTTCAGGGGCATCTATAGAACTTTCTTCCAAGATTATTAGCTTTGTAACAAGTATATATTTTACATTGCATGTTGCAATGACAATAGATCGGATTATCTAGCCTTCTCGGTGATGAATTAGAGCGGCTCGAACTCATGTCAAAAATCTAAAATTACAAAACAAATTTAAATAGGTAAATGTAGTCAACTAAAACATATATAAAAAAAAAAACAAATTACTCAAGTGACAACAAACTTAAAAAATATCTAAAATTTTGTTTTTTTAATTTTAAACATATCTTCCATTCTCCCATAATTACCAATGACTAGTTTTGCCAAGCACAACTAATTAAAACCAATCGGATAACCTCAATGGCCACATTAAAACACAATTTTTTGATGTAATACCAATTAGATAACAATTTTAAAACCCATAATGCATCGCCTAAAAATCTTATCCTGCATACATGATAAATCATAGTTTGCTCTTGTGCACTTATAATGAAAATGCTATAACTATTCTATGGATTGCAAACCAATCGGATAACCTTAATCGGCATATTAAAGCATGTGAAGAGATAGCAACCCTAAAAAAACAAAGTAGACACATACTATTTTCCATAGATAAAACCATAACAGAAATGGAAAAATTACTTCATAATGATGAGTATATTTGAAAAGAGAACATATGGAGAAGAATATGGATGAGGAAAAGAGAAGAATGGGGAGAGTTCACCTTGCAAAGAAGGAAATCCGGCGGCTAGGGCATGTCGGCGGTGTCGACTTGGGCTGGCGACCAGCGAGAGAGAGAAGGAAATGGATTTGGCACTCGGAGCTTCTTGCGACAACTGAGAGCACACGAAAATTAATGTGGTCTCGGGAATGTTTTGACGGAGAGAAAGACGGTAGGGTATTTTAGAAAGCCAAATAATGTTTTAGGTGTTAGGTTTGAAAATAAGAAAGTTTAGATGTTAGATAAGTAAATAGAGAACTTTTAGGTGTTAGGTATGTAAAAACCCCTAAATTTTATTATGCTTATCTAATTTAATGATTATTAATTAATTATCAATAAAATAATAATTATGTTAACTATAATTTAATTAGGCTAATTATAATAAAAAGTTGTTTATTTGAAATTATGAATATCTAATCAAATATTATTTTTTTGAGAAAATGTACTAAAAAATTTACTTTATATCAAAATATCATGATATTTTAACAAATATAGTCAAGTTTTTCACCAAAGAATTCCGCAATCTTCTGATCTTAGAAGCACCTCCACTTTTGTTCTTCTCTTCATCTTCTTCATTTTTGATAATTTTAAAGAGTGCATCTTCGATGTGCAACACAAATTTATAGTGAATAGTTTTTCCTACTAAAATTGTCTTCAAAGGTTATTAATACTTTTCAATTTGACTTTTATGGTTTAAAAAACAAATTTTGTATTCTAAACTCTAAATCACTTTGCCATTAGGCCGGCTTCAATTTCCTACTAGTTTTCAGGTTAGAGCTATCTTTCAACCACATTTATCTTTAAACCAACAAATAAATCACCATTAAACAATTTTAATAATCTTTAAAACATAATAGAAATTTACCCCAATCATTTTTTAAAATGTTCAACCCATTCAACTCAAGATTTAGTATTATTATAATAAATTTTGATGAATTATAAAATTGTTTGAATTTATCTGAACCATATTTGATCACTTGCTCAATCTTATGTTTGAGCATTCATTAATCATGTCAGATTATGTTCAAATAAGGTTTGATAAAGCGTTCAAATAAGCATTAAATAAATTACGCCACCAGGATTAGAAACTTTGCTTTAGTTATTGGGTTGAATTTTCAAGGGTTTTCACATGATCATGATTCAAAAGGATAACGTAACGGGCTGTTTAAAAGATACTTCGATGGGGATAAGAATTTCAAGAACACTAACTTTGAAGTGCATTTTTTATATATCCTTAGAGTATGATGTCATGGTAGTGGACAATATGAGTGATGAATATAGACATGGTGCGCTACGATGCATGTAATATATAGAAAAGTGTCTTAGCCCAGTACATTCTAATTTTATAAGCAGTTTCACCATAGTATTAGGATTATGAAGCCATTCCATAGGTGTGGAAGATATCTACTAAATTCATTGGGAATAGAATACCAAGGATGTTATGTTGGAAGATAAACAATTTATACTTTTTTTCCTTTCCTATTTTATGTAAGGAGTTATCCATGTTGATGAGGATGATTTTTTAAGTCCGTTAAATATACTCCCACTAATCCTATGACAATTAAGATTATAAAGAAGAAATTGAGCATATATATTATTAATAAGATATCAAGGGAGCCAATATAATTAATTGCAAGTAAATTCATTCCAAACAAAGAAGGGATGAAGCATATTAGAAAACTATGCTCTACCGCATTCTTGATTATCCATTCGTGACCTGCATTTTGGTAAATCAGAAAGTTGTAAGGCTAGGCTATAGCAGAAGTAGAGAGTTGTTAAGTTATGCTAAAGAGGAAAGAAGAAGGTTGGGCAAGGGTGTTGAAGAAGGACATTGGCTAGTAAAGAAAAAAGTGAGGGAAGATGAAGAAGAAGAGGAAAGTGGAGAAGGAAGGAAAATAAAATGAGAAGTAAGAAAAATTAGTTATGTGTAAATATCTAAATTTGTAAATTTTCTAGTACAAAAATAATATTCATTTGTGTTGTAGGATTCTAGCGATGTATGAGGAGGGGAAATTTTGAGATAAAATTTTATTTTGAAATAAATAGAATTTTATATGTATGATTAGAAAAGTAAACTATAGGAATAGTATGTGATACAACACCAAAAATCATGTTGATCAGGCACGAATCTTGAAGCATATATGAATTGAAAACTTTAAGAATTAAAATTTGAACCAACCATATGATCAAATTAATATTCTCAATGAGAACAACCCAACAACACCAAAATTGATCTGCTACGAGCCTACATTGGTCCAAATTAAGGGACCAAAGCATATTTGGTAGGTTCAAAATATTAATTGGATGATCAAATGATCTTTAAAAATGACATGCTTATAATAAAAAAGAGTGGCTTAACAAGGAAAATCCAATGAGCCCAAGATCCCTTAATTATGACATCATTAAGATACTTAAATGCTTACAATGTTTTTGTAACTATGAAAGGTGCTGCTAGCTGGGGTTAGAATGCAAATGATATGATCGCACTATCCCGTAGGACAAAACGCTCGTAGGCCTTTACACTCTATACAAGCAAGCCAATGGGAGAGCAGATAGGATCATATATACGATTAACTATAGAGAATAGTGGCTTCCACCTACATATCTTGATGGGTAATAATATATATGACCTGATAATCATGAGATTTCTCCCATTGGATACATTAGCTTGAATGAGGTGTATTGATGCGGTGTTAGTTTCTCACAGGCTTAAGGCCTCAAGCCTATGTGGTTAATTACATCTTAGGCATCAACCAAAGAAAACACTCAATTATGGACACTATATTATTCTCTTCATAATTTGGCGCATAGTAGGGCATCTAAGCTCTCATTATCTAAAGAAAGATAGGCTCAATTAGACTATTCAACATGTGAGGATCATAGAAGCACTCGGTTAGTCCAAAGAGAGAGAATCTGGGGAGGAAACATCACACACAAAGCATGTGTGAGAGAAAGATGGAAGCAACATCAT